GGAGAGGAAATCCCAGGGCAAAATACCTCTAAAAACCGAAATCAGTCAAAGGGAGAAGTAAAGTTTAAAACCCGTTTGTTGCTTACAAACCACAGTCCAGCACCGGCTCTCTCCCCCTGCTCCAGAAGAAGCAAGCAAGCAAGCCAGCCTCTCCCCCTTAACCTCTCAGGTTCAGACACACCCTCGGTTGCCCAGGTAATACCCACTGACATGGAGATGAACTTCTCTCCACCCCTGAGGATATGCAAATGCGCTAAAGCCAGGGGAGATGATCTGGAAATATTACAATTTTACCCACACCATCCATACAGGATGGGCCTTCTGCATGGAGCTGGGGACACAGGAGGTGTCAGTTGGCTGTCAAGCCCACTGGAATAATCTTCCATAACATGGATCTGGGTAGCTGGGATGGGTGCAACCATGCCCTCCACTGTTCCTACTGAGTTTCTATAGATTTTGTTGAATAAATATTTCTTAAATGGTTGTAAGCACTTTGGTCAACGACAGAGATTTTAAGTCATTGTCTTAGATAATTTTTACCAGTTTAATAGATGTCTCTCTGTGGATGAGGTTTCACTGTGATCCTCACACCAGCATTCTGGAAGCGCCCTCCTTCCCTGTAAAGTTTTAAATAACCATAACAGAAAGATGCATATTTTTGAACCACAGCATTTTGTAAAGGTCCCCTTGAAGGATCTTCCTGGTAGGTTCTTGTATCAATCTTACAGCCTCCTTACAGCATCCCAAGGAGAAGCAGAGATAGTGGCCACATACCATCTCACATCTGTCCCCAAATTTGCTGGAGATGGTGTGGTGGTGGCCAAGCCCTTTGCTCAGATAGGTGAATATGAATAAGATGAAGCATTTGATTAGAGAAACCTGAGATCAAAAGTAAAGTGTCCCTGCAGGAAGGTAAGAAGATTAACAGCATGCAGGTGGCAGAGCTTTTGGAAAGACAAGCTCTTTGAAATCCACAAAATCACCTGTGTCTTCAGATAGGGGCTTAGTGTGCCTTCTGAGAGCATTAGACCTTGTGGGCCGTGCTGGCTTCACAGAGAGGCATCATTATCCTCATGAATGTTTATTGAATGTCTCCTGGGAGGCTGGCCATTGTAATGATCTGTTTCTAAGTCTCTGCATAACCTTGCTTTGGTTTTTGCTTTTTCTTCCTGTAAAGACTTCGTTATTGCTGGGGATTTAATATTTCTTTTAGTTTCAGTTGGTTTTTAAGGAGTGAGAAGAGGCAGTTGACTCAATGTTCTATATATACAGTCTTTCAAAACCACAGATGAAGATTTTAAATATTATTCTGACTCGGATAACCTGCCATTCTAAGTGCAGTGTTTTCTTTGCTAGATTTGTGACAGCTTGGAAGGGAAGCTGTCCTTCAACAATGGTAAATGACACAGCTATCATCTCTGCAAGTCCAGAATGATTAATAGATTTTACCTTATTTACTTCTTCATCTGACACTGGTTGGAGACCAGTTTCATTCTTACTCCTTTCTGGAAGAAGAAACGAAATTATTTTCCAGCACGCTTAATAGGATGAATCGCTAAAATGGAAGAAATGTCCTTGTAATTCGTTTAGATGTCTCTTAATGTCTCTTCCCATTTTCCTTCCAAAGACCGTTTGTTTATTAAGGTCAGCCCTGGGAAGAGACTCCCAGTGCAGATTTCAGACATCAGTTTAAAATGACTTTTCAGGTGTGATGCCAGAAACTTTAACAGCCCCCTTCACACTGACTCTGTGATCTCTGGTACGTCCTTCCCAGGCCCCTCCCTCTTCTAAATAGCAAGGATTTCTGGCTGGAATTATTGTTTGGGTCAAGTTCAGAGAGCGTTCTTGTGTTTCTTTCATGGGATACAGCTGAGGGGTGAGGGGGGCAGGTCAGCGGGGCGCGTCTTAGAGGGGAAGGGCGCCTGCGATCTTTGATTCAAAGACTGTGGCTCCCTCACTTTCTCTTACAAAGAAATAGTATTCATCCCATGCTTCCCACTGCAAATCACTCTGGCGCGGCGTGACACTGCAGCAGATACACCAGGACTTTTCCCACACCGCACTACAAACGCAGCCACCCTCTCTGGGGAGCCTAAGATACATTTTGGGGCTTCCACTTCCCCTCCATTTGTTTGAAGGATCAAGAGAACACAGTTCCATTTTCAACAAAAATTAAAAAGGAAAATCATGAAAAGAGCCAACCTTCCTCTTTTTTTTCTCTCTTTTAATATATTGTTGCATCCAGGGAAGAGGAAACAGTGAGCGCCACTGATACTGGGTCCCCTGGGACCCTGTAACGCTCACTCCCCGGCCATCCAATGAGCATATCTTCCTCCACTTGCAGAGCAAGTGTGCAGTGGGGCTGGAAGTCACTCTTGGCTCAGCAAAGCTTTGCAAAAAAATGAGACACAACAGTGCTTCAGGGATCCAGGCTATATTCACACCTGGGTTTTCACAGCGAAGACAGTTTTTAGCTTTAAGTCTTCAGAGATTTGGAGAAAGGAGATTTGAAAAACTATTAGCCATGTTCCTGTCAGCCTGCTAAGAACTGCGTGTCCCTTAAGGGCAGGGAAAACTCCTTCCACAGGTTTTTGTTTTGTACTTCTTTTTAAGGTACTATGTGTGGAGCCACGGGTCAAGTCACTTTAGATTTGAAATATGACATCTCATTTATTCTGCATTGTTGCAAATCATGTGTGCACTGGATAAAATTCTCCAGATAACTGGACTGTCATCCTATGAAAATGAATAGTTTAAAATGAAAATGTATTTAGGGTATGTTTAGTTAATAAATATGGTAGAGATGATTAACTGTTCTTTGACAGCAAGTTCATTATCATTTACATGAATTATTTTACTGGCTGGAGCAGAGATATCCTCAGGGCCTATGGAGATGAGAAGGACTCTGTAGCCTCCCTTACAGTCTGGGAATTCTATTCTTTTCCCATTGATTTTCTGATTTCTAACTGTGCTCTTGTCCTTACTTCTGCCATTTCTTCCCAGGATCGGTGTCTGAGCAGCTTAACGGTCTTCAGTCTCAGCTCCTTCATCGCCAATAGTAACCCGAAACCAAACCGACAGAAACCAGATGGGCTTATTCTACATACATGACTTGGTAAATATGTTCTCTTGCCAACAGAGTAGAGAGCATGGGCTTTACAATAGCTACAAAAATCTAATTCACCCCTTCTGTCTTTATATGAAGAGATAAACTCTATATCAAGTGGCATTTCTTTTTGTACTTCGAAAAATGCACATTTCTCTTATTATTACCATTTGCCTTCAGTAAAACAAGCCAATCTGACCTCTAAAACAGATTTCTTCTCCATTTATTACCTCTTGTTTGCCACCTCTGTAATCCCAGCCAGTATCATCTCTCACAGACTGTGCTAACTGCCCCCTGCTGGTCTCCCAGTGCCATCCTGGATTCCTTCCGATCCACCCTCTACACTATAGCCAGAATGAGTTTCAGAGCATGTAAATCTCATGACTTCATCCCATGTGCAGCGGCCTTCCATATCAGCTTCACTCTGTGCCACCTGCCCTCTCCCGTGGTGTCCTGTCGTCATTGTCTCTCCTCGGCCATGCTTGCTCATACACAGACCTTTGCAAGTGCTGTCTGCTCTGCCTGAAATGCTCTTCCCCTGGACTAGCTCCTTCTGTCCTTCAGTTCTCAGGTTACATGTCACTTCTTTAGAGAGGCATTCCTGACTGCTCTAATTAAAGTAGGTATGCACTATAATTCTCTAAGGTAAAGACATATGAGAGTGAACACCAAGTATGAAAATCTTTCTACCATATGTTAACACCCTCAGGTAGCATCCACCATGGAAGAGACATTAACTAATCAGGCAGATAATGAGCTGCAATTGACTTCAGCCTTGTCAATAACCACTCTCCAATGCGGGAACAAAAACACATGAATGAAGTAGCTACAGAGGTAGAGATGGAGGCTCAACAACCTGAAGTGCATTTACCAAGGCTGATGGAACTACCACCACTGAATATTCAGTATGCTAGCAACAGAGAATGATGCTGAGCTTCCACTATGGCACATCGCTCAAGAAGACCAATCAATCACGTGGTGCAAAGTTGACTATATTGAGTCTCTTCCATCTGGAAGAGCCAGTTGTTTCTTGCCACAGGAGTAGATGTAGCCCCTCTTCTCATAAGGGCACTAATACCATCATGGGATTATTTGCCCTTCCTGCCTGCTGGACCTCAGCAGCACTGCTGTGCAAGGGGTGGGGTTATGGACCGCTGTTATACTGGCACAGAATCACGTATAAAATCATATTAAACCATAGAGTTAACATTACAGTAAATGAGGTATAGATATGGGTCCCTGATGACAAGATCTGCTGGTCATATCACACACATACCACCCAGAAGCAGCCTGCTCCCTAGAGTGTTTCTTGGAAGAAATATTCCACAGGGTGGGGTGTCATCCTCCAGTATACACATCAGATTAAAGACTTTTATATGGCGTTGGTCCCCAACAAGAAAAATGCATGGGTCCAGGAACCAAGGTTAGAAGCAGGAGTGGCCCCACTTGTCATCACTCACTGACACACTGGAGGCTTTATACTTCTCATCCCAAAATATAACTTTGGGCTCTGTGGGGTTAGAAGTTCTCATTCTCACAAGGCACAGCTTTCCCTGGGGGTACAAAGAGTGAGCACCCCTGCACTGCCCGCCGCAGCCTCCATTCGGGCACTTCCTCCTCTTTGTCTCCTGCAGTCAGCAGACGAGGGCAGCAGCCACCAACTCGGCCGAGGCGACTGACCCGGCCCCAGGAGGGAGCAGGCTGTTGCTCCACAGTGGGTCAGAGAGGGCCCACATGGGACCTGGTGACACCCTTGGGTTTTTTCTGGTACATCCTTCCCACTTGCGACTAAATGAACAGGCAGAACAACCCCATTCTGAGAAGGGCGTGTGTCTTCATCCACTTGGGTTGCTCTAACAAAATGTCATTGACTGAGTAGCTTAAGTAACAAACATTTATTTCTCAGAGTTCTGGAGGTTGGGAAGTCCATGATCAAGGTGCTGGCACCTTCCGTGTCTGCTGAGGGCCTGCTTCCTGGTTTCAGATGGCTGCCTTCTTGCCGTGTCCATGCACGGTGGAGAGAGAGTGAGCTCTGGTCAGCCCCTCTTCTCATAAGGGCACTAATCCCGTCATGGTGTCCCTCCCCATGACCTCATTTAAGCCTAGTCATCCCCCAAATACCTCACCTCTAAATACCAACACACATCCTACCATCCAAACACCACAGAGAAGGGCTTCAATACAGAATCTGGGGAGGACAACACAGACGTTCAGGCCACCACAACACAGCGTCCGAGGCCCGGACCCCATGGGAAGGATCTGGTCATGTTACTTGAAAAGCCTCTGAGAAGGGCAGGGGTGGTGTGTGATGGTGAGAGGGATCCAGACAGGCAGTGGAGAGAAATGAGTACCTGTTGTGTCTCCAAGCCTAATTGCAGCAGTGGGGACTGAAGTTCATCCTGCTCGTCTTCCTCCTCTAAGTTTTCCTTCTGGAAGAGAGGCCTGCTGGGACCCTGAAGGAACTGCCCCTTGAGCGAAGGTGAAGTGAACTGGAGTGATGCAAGGGGTGGCCCGTGGTGAGTGCAGAGATGAGTCCCCCAGCCTTTCTTCCGGAAAGGGGTTGTGCCCAGCTGTGGGGGTGCAGTCAGCAGGCAGCCTCCAGACACCGGCTCCTTCAGGGTCACACCTTCTTGGCATCATGCCTTCTCAGGGCAGCTCACTCCTGCAAAGGTGTGGACATCTCTGCCCAGTGTGGCAAAGCTCTGCTGGGCAGTCCTTGCCGCAGAGCTGCCTGCCATGCTGGGGGAGGCTTGGTCAGGTCTGCACCACACCTTCTCTTCCCTTCACTCAATATTCTTTCCTCCCCTTCCTCTCCCTGGCAATAGTCCCTAATAAACATCTTGCACTTAGCTTTGTCTCAGCATCTACTTCCAAAGAAATCAAGTTGGTATGGGCTATACACTTTGGAGGCAAAGAAGGAACTTGCTAACTAGGTAATTTGGAGCCAGTTATTTCACTTTCCTGAACTTCCATTTCCTCATGAGTAAAATGGAGACAACATTTGCCTCTCAGGGTGCGTTAGGCTTAAATGAAATTGAGTGAGTAAATCACCTGGCATGGTGCATGGCATACAACAGTGTGTTTAAAAGGGAAGCACCCTCAAAAATGGGCACTTTCCCATGCCATCATAGCTTTATAAGTTCTCTGTTGCGAAGGGAGAGCTGAGTGTTCAGTTTTGTGGCCAGTTTGTTGATGATAATAATAGCTAATTCTTACATAGCATAAACTGTGAACCAGGCACAATCTAAGCATCTTGCATAAATTAATTCATTTAAACCACCCAACAAACTGGTAAGAAAGATACTGTTTCTAATTCCATTTTACAGGTGGGGAAACTGAGGCACAGAGATGTTCACAAACTAGTCTTAGGTCCCAAAGGTTGGAAGTAGGAAATCTGGGCTTTGAACCCAAGAATCTGGCACCAGAATCGGTACTCTTGCCCACTAGAGTACACCACCTCTTACTTAGTCTTTATCCTATAAAGAACTTGATACAGAATAAGGTAATCCTACTGCTAACCTCCCACTTCACCATGATACCCCTCCAGAACTAATTTTTCTAAATAGGAAAGAAGAAGAGAAACAAAGAAGATGTCACCTGTCCGCAGATGTGCTGAGACTCATGAATCCATCTGAAGCCTTGAGGGAGGGGAAGTCCAACAACATCCTTGTCTTTCTGGGACTGAGGCCCCGACCAAAGGGAACTGCCCTGGCAGAGGGCGTGAGGGCGAGGGAGACATTAACAATGATTTCTTTGCAGAACTTCAGGTATTTGCAAATAATTAACTCAGCTTTTTCATCATGTCTTTATTTGCTTAAATTAACAAAATATAGGTTACGTACTATTTTCAGGTAAACTGCTTTTTCACTAAAGCCAAAAAGCTGTCTTCACAACTTGGGTTGCTACACATGTGGAGTTTTAGTTTTTAAATAGCACACCAGAATTCTGTACAAAACCAACATTTGGTATAATGTTGTCCAAATATGTGAAGGATTTTAAATGTTAGCTCTGTTACATTTTGTTCCAGCAAAGCAAAGATCATGACTCAAAACATGATGTTAATATTTTATTAAATGCCTTCAGGGCTTAATAAATACAGTACGCACACTGGGCTTTCTCATGCAACTACTCATATACAAATATGCCAGTTACCCTTGCGGGGCTAGGGAAGGTCAGCCTCAGTCTAATGGCCAGTGGGGAGTTGAATTGTTAAAAAGAGAGGATGAAAGGAGAATGGGAAGGCAGCCAGAGTAGTAATCATAGGTCTGAATAAAAGGGATAGAAGAAAACTATGCCACTTGGCTGGTCGGTTGGCTGTTTCGAAGTGCCAGCGGTCAAAAGCCTGGAAAGCATTTGGTGGTGACCTATTTTGCGAGTGCCACAGTGAGATGAGTGTCATGCTGCCCTGGCTTCTGGCGCACTGGTGACCTTGGATGGTCTCCTTCCTTAATTCTGAGGACAGCCCCATGGGCTCTCCTCCAGGCTTGCATTCTGGTTAGTCAGCTCACTCAGTAAGGTTGGCCAACCCTTCTCTTAGCTCTGCACTGATGCACAGGGTGTCCCTATAGTGTATCTCCCAAACTGGGATGCTTTTGAGAGGTAAGGTGGCGCTATTAGTAATTACCCTGCGAAAACAGGCATAACCAGGGTTGTGCGGGGCAAACCAGGATGTCGGTCATGCAACAATATACATAACCAAGATTTTAGCCGTGGGTCTTAGAAGGTCAGTGGATATTAACCATCAGGTTAGATCTAATTAAGTTTCTCTTACCCAGTCAAGAACTAAAAACAGGTTTTAGAATACATCCCATAACAGTTTTTTGTTACTTTTCCTAGACCTTTTTTCCTCCCTCCACATGAAATTTTACTTGGAAGGCTAACATATAAAACAGAGAAAACTGTGCTGCTATGAGTAAAGTGGGCCAGAGGGCTGAGTTTCTCTTCTCCCTTAGCAGCTCTGAAGGGGCCTGTGGGGGACTTCTTGCTACTCAGTACAAGACTTGGAAACCACCATTCTAGACCATACTCTCTCCATCTCAACATTAACTTGTTCCTCAAACATTCCTACACTATTCACTGGGGTTGGAAAGACTAGAGCTTGCTCTTCTAGATTTCCTAGCTCCTACTCCAGCTAGGCATCCCCAGAGCAAACTGGAAACCTGCAGCCCTTCAGTAGGTCCTCAACACATGGCCGCAGAAAGAATGAATGTGCAGCGGGACCCTCAGAGCTGGAGGCTAACAGACTGCTCTGCTAGCCTACAGGGTGATTTCATCAGAGGCACTGCTGAGTCATCTTATTAATGAACGGAAGGCAAGCTGCCCCTTTGAGGACCTGGGACAGGTTCTTGGCCCACAGCTATGCTGATGACCACAGACACGCGCTCGTCCCTTCGCCATCCCTTTTGCAGGTGCTCTGACTTCAGGACACGGGGGACAGCAGGAAACCCAAGCAGCCGTTCTTGGCCCACAGCTATGCTGATGACCACAGACATGCACTCGTCCCTTCGCCATCCCTTTTGCAGGTGCTCTGACTTCAGGACACGGGGGACAGCAGGAAACCCAAGCAGCCTTGGCACTTTGTGGTGGTGGTGAGGTTCAAGGAAATCACGTTAGGCAGGGTGGCAGGAGAAACGCTGCAGGGATCAACAAAGCACGCGGGTGAATGAGAACGAGATGAGGCTCCTGGGGGAGCACTGCAGCCAAGAGAAAAAGTCAGCATCCAGCAGTCAGGGTTGGCCAGCTCTTCTAAACAAGTGCACTGTGAACTTCAGGAGAAGAAGCAAAATAATAAACAGTACCTAGCTCTACAAATAAGAGTAGAAACTACCAAACAAGAGGCAGTGTTTACATAAACACAGACACAGTACCAGAGGGTCACTGCTTACAGTCAGCCACACGTGTGCCACATTCTGTCCCTGCTGTCTGACGTGGCGCCCACACTAAGCAAAGCCTACCTGCTGGGCTCAGCCCTCATTCTAGTCAGTGTCACTCATCAGAATCATGATTCAAGCATCTAGGAAGACATCAGAGTCACTGTAGTCTAGCCATGTGTTTTTAAACATATTAGGTGACCATAAACATCACAGGCATTGTCTTCTAGTACAAAAAGTGTGTGTTTATACAGAGTGTGTGTGTGTGTGTGTATATATATGTGTGTGTGTGTCCCCTCATGAGGCTCTTATAGAGCAGGTTAAGAAAGCCTACATCAGCAGTATGATTTTGGGGTCTTCTGTTCTCCATCCTAATCAGTCTGAAACCCCTGGGGAGTCCTGGCACCCACTCTTTTAGCTTTGCCAGCTTTTCTCAGCCCTGGCCACACATACGGACCATCTGGGGCAGCTGGAAAACACCAGTGCTTGTACCCTACTCTAGACCAGTTAAGTCAGAGTCTCAGGGAGTGAGGACCCAACACTGGTATTTTTAAAAATGTTCCCCCAGATGATTCTAATGTGTAGGCAGCACTGAGAACAGCCCAGAATCTCCCTCACTAGTGATTAGCTGGTGGCTATTCTAAGACTCCAATTAAGTCCAAGCTTTGATTTCAGGGAGAACTCTCCCCACTCTCCCAGCTCCAGCACCGAAGAGAACCCACTGCTCACAGGGTGACAACTCTTCCTGCATGAGGCCCCAGAGCAAGGTCTCCAGAAGGGAGCCTGCTCAGGACACAAGAGCTTAGCCTGAAGACACTGAGCACCGGCCGGCCACCTGGAAACACGCTCCAAGGGCTGCCTCTCGTGAAGGTCACTGAAGCAGAACAGGAATCTAAGTATTGCTGTGTTTTCAAAATTATCCATATTCTCTTGAAATTTTATCTTATATCTGCAGCAACTGCTCGAGAACATCCGCTTCAAATAACTCACCCTCCTTTGTTAATTCTGGTGTTTCTGATTACTTAATAAAGGTGATTTTTATATATACAACTCATATTTTCATTTATCTGGAAAAATACTATACTTTCACACATTCCACTAAATAGTTGTTACTAAGGTAACATGTCAAGCACCATACTTTTGCAACTAGAAAAAGATTTACCATGTATTACATATTAGTCAAAGGGGAATAGAATTTCTAAAAGCACCTCAGCATCAGCTTACAATTAGCTGTCTCGAAGAATATGTACAGATTATTCTGGAGGTACATAAAATAACACTGAAGGAGACACTGCACATGTGTTAAAAACCAAGGGCCCAAGAAATAACCTGAGAAGTATTTACATTTCTGAAGACAGTCCCTGCTCATTAAGTCTGAGCCATTTGTACAGATCTGAGCCATTTGTTCGTCAGTCTGCAGTAAATGACAGCTCAGGCAGAAAGCTGTATTTCAACTGCCTAGCTCTCATTTTCCAAATGCAATTTTAAAACCATCCACTTAGATACCTAAAAGCACTGCTTGTTTTTCCATTTTCCTCTCCAGTAATTCTTTCAAACTCTCATCTCTGTGCTTGAAGTACAAGTCCTCAGAGCAGGGGGTGGGCCGCCGGGTGCTCTGCAGAGCCCTGAGGCCAAGACACTGGTCTCTGCAGGCAAACTCTCTCTGCAGGCCGCCCTCTGGCCCACGGCTGTCCTTGCTCTGTTCCTGGCGGCCCCCTTTCGGCAGGTCCTCCTCTTCGCCACAGGCTGCCCCCGGGACCCTGGGGGCCCTCTTGGGCTGGCTGGAGAGATCCTGGGGTGCGCACAGTGGCCTGCCCTGGGGGCCCTGGCCCGGGCTGTCCCGCTCCATCTCGTAGCAGTTGTCCTCGTCCTCCTCTTCGTGGCAGGAGCTGCCCCTGGCGCTCTCCCCGTCCGACTGGAAGGCCGGCGCCTTCGCCCCGCGCTTCTGGGAAAGGTCAAAGGGCTCCTCCTGTTCCAGACTCCGCAGGGCCCCGGCCGTCTGCACCAGGGCAGTTCTACCTCTTCCAAACCCTGCGAGAGCAAAGCAGCGTTCAGGCTCCAGGAAAAACCGTGAGAAAGGGCCTCTGGGTGGTACCCAGCGCTGTTTTGTGTCGTTTGATTTAACATTTTCAAAACAGGTAATTCCCATCAAGGCTGTGGTGTGACCGACCTCTTCACAGGCCGCGTTTACGTGGGCATAACCCCTCAAGGTGAATTTGGCAACACGCACCAAAAGCTTAAAATAAGCATAGCTCTGACTTAGCTATTACACTACGGAAAGTGCAACTATGAAAACAGCCAGGCAGATGCACAAAAATGTATGTGTACGAATGCTCATCACCACTTCTTTTTTCAATAGTAAAAGTGTGAAAACAATTTAGTGGTTTGTAAAGAAATAATAGTACAGGTATATAATAAATTGTGTATAGAAGATATAGAGCTACTAATGATTATACTAATGATTCCCTGTGTATTTTAAGTAAAAAACATATATATTTATTATATCTATTCATAGCATAGACCCAGTTTTTCTATCATCTCTTTCATCTGTCTAGAAGGATGTATGTCAGAACTCAAAAATGAAGTGATTTTGACATTTTTCTTTTCACTTCTATTATATTCCTTATTTCATTATTTTCAGCGAGCATATATTTTACCATAAAGTAAAACAATTTTAGAAAGTATTTTCACCTTGAAAAACCAAAAATATTCCATTTGGATCCAAGTAGGCCACCCATAACCAGGCCCTCTAAGCATAGCTAGAGTAGGGAGCACACATAGGGGATATCCCAGGAGCCCCAGAGCTCCTGTGTCCAAACCCAAGTGTCCCTGCTCCCAGGCACAGCGATCCAGAGGTCTCCTTTGGGTTTCATCTGAGGTCTCTGCAGGGATGGATGTCCAGCCATTAACAGACACATGGTAGAGCTCCACCTGGCTTGATTTTGAAGGCCTCTGCCCATATGAGCCAATAGCTAGGCCCCGAGGAACAGGTGGGGACCACTAAGGGAGAGAATAGGAGAGAGAGGCCTGGGGGCGCTGCAGGAGAGCCAGGCCTCTGGGGTGGAGGCACACAAAGGAAGCTGATGTCCAACTTTGCCCACTTGATGATCCTGCCAGGCAATGACGGTGTCTATAGCCTTAATCTTATCAGGGCAGGAACGGTCTTTTTAATCTGGGTCATGATTTTTGAGCCATTTCAAAAACTAGAGTGAAAATATGCTAACACCTTTTGCAGATGAAAACATTTGAACTGTTGCAAGTCTGTTAAAAACCTCCAAAGCCCTCTCTGATATATTGTGATGCTCTTTATTTTTCCAAAAGAATGATAGAATAACTAGGTGCCTTTTAGGGTTTGAGCATCCATCCATACAGGGTGGGTTGTGGTGACCAGATTAGGCTCTCTGATGGAGGACTGTCTGATCACTGCCTTGTATGTTTCTAGCCCCAGTGACTGAGCAAACATCACCTATTCTGGAAATATCCACGCCTAGCTTGGGAAGTGGCTCAGACAACTGAGAATGCAAAGAATAACCCAGGAGAAAAGGAGTCTCAGGGGAAAAAAAATTGCTTCTTTTTATAACCAGAGTTTTTTCAGGGCATTTGTGCAAACTCCAGACCTGTTTTACGATGACCACCATTCCTCGTCACCTAGGAGTTACTGCAAACTCAATGGATGTTGTGAAAAATCTGAAAGTGACAATCATTCTGTTTCATGCTGTGTGTGTATGTGTATATCTTATTTGTGAATATGTGTGCCTATTTGTCCACCTCTTTTGTAAAGGGGTGGGAGGAGCAGAAACATAAATCACCCTGTGTTATTGCCTAGTGCAGGGAGCCTGGCTTGATTCAGAAATTCTTGAGTCGGCACTCCAGGTCAGCCTTCATACTTGCTGTATGACCTTGAGCAGATAACAGAACACCTCTAGGCACTGGTCTTCTCTTATATACATTGAGATAACAAGTCTACTTTGTGGAAGTATGGTGATGAGCAGCAATGTCTCTGAAGTGCTTAGCCTGAAGTGCTTAGCCCTGCGCTCAGATCATACTGATGTCAGACGTCAGCAGCCAGTCGGCATGGCTTTGTCAGGTTACATATATGCATGTCTTCTCTGCCCACCCACACACCTCCCACGGAGCAAAGATGGTCTCATCCCCCTGGAACGCTGCAGCACGTGGCAAGCTGCCCTGGAAGAGGTGCATTACTGCCTGGTTATCAAAGGACCGCTCCATCAGAAGCAACCTGCTGATTTCAGTAGATCTGGAAAATAAACTCTCCTACTAAGGGCCCTGGAACTGAGAAGGTGAGAGAGGTAAGAACTGTTCATCAGTTCACTTAGGACAGTGGGGAAGATAGAAACCCCTGCTCTGCCTATGGTCCCATCAGCCCTACAAAGCAGGAAAATGGTTCACAGATGTACCTGGTGGTGAGCAGGTAAACGAGACCAAGCTTGCTCCAGACACACTTCTGTTGACAGCAGAGCTTTGCAGACTTGTTTTTTACAAAGGAAAGAAAAATTTCATGCCTGTCCCTGACAGTGCAACACTTTGCATACAGTAAGGGCTTTAGGTTCAGGAAGGTCTGTGTCTAGATCCTGGCTCTGCCACTTTTCGGTTGAGCAACTTTGGGCAAATTAATATCTCAAAGTTTCAGTTCCCCCATCTGTAAAACAGGGATAATAGAAGTTCTGCCAGCCTGGAGTTGCTGTAAAGATTAAAGGAGGCGAGGCACCTGTTGCTGTGTCCAGAGCAAAGAACCACTAATGGGACTGACCGGCATCATTATGATGTTTGCATTTACTCTCTATAGTTCACTTGTACTTACTACCTTCAATATTAGCACTATATTTGTTATAATAACATTGTAAACCTGCTCCTGCTACTTTTCTGTGGTCTTAAACATAACACTCCCTTTTTCAACATTAAGAGCAACTCCTCCAAAGTGAAGACCCCTAAAACAAGTTGTGCTCCCTGGTCTCAGCAGCTTAGGAGCGCCCTGGAGGAGCAATTACCTTGAGAATGGAGGCCCCGCTCCATGACCCCATGCTTGACTTTCATGTGGCGAGTCAGGTTCCCCTTCAGGGTGAATTTGCTGGGGCAGTAGAGGCACCTGAAGGGCTTGCTGTCGGAGTGTAGGTGCATGTGGCCCATTAGGTTGTGCATCCGGTTGAATTCCTTCCCACACAGCTGTTGGGAACAGTGACCAGGAGAACACAGGTTATTCATGGACAGGAGGCCCAGCCCAGGTGAACCCCCATCCAGGCCTGTGTGAGCACGGACATCCTGCTACTTTGAATCTTGGCATTTTAAGTTGCTGCCAAGGAAAATGACCCATAGAAGTCAGGAAGGGGCTGGACTCTGACCCAGAGCGGGGTGAGTAGGGATGGATTCATGAGATGTTGTTCTTGTTCTACAGGGATCTTAAAACTCAAAGCAAATATTGCAAAGCCATTAGAGTTTCTTTTGAATGCAACCTTCTGAAAAGGAGGAAAGCTGATCTGAAAAGTAATTGCTCAAAGTGTGCTTTCCTTTAATAATTAGGATATGATGACTTACTTCAACTTTATGGAACATTCCAAATATGGAAAGCACTGTCCTCAGTCTGCCATGGAATATCTCATGTAATTCCCACATCAGCCTTATGAGATGACCCCACTGAGGAATGATGGCCCCTGGCCCAGGCACAGAGACAGGGGGTGCTGGGGCTGGGCTCATGGACTCAGGCCATCGGACACCAGAGGACATGCAGTCCACCCCCATACCATCCAGTGTCCCTACCCCAACATAACATTTCTGTTAGGCGATATCAGGCAATGCTTTTATAATTTTTTTAAATGAAATAGTCACCACGATAAGTGTGGTTACCAATTGTCACCATGCAAAGAAACTACAATGATTATTGACTATCTTCCTTATGTTGTACTTTTCATCCCTGTGACTTACTTATAATGGGAAGTTTGTTCCTCCTTACTCTCTTTACCGACTTTGCTATGCCCTCGACCTGCCTCCCCTATGGCAACCCCTAGTTTGTTCTCTGTGTTTCTGAGTCTATTTCTGATGTTCTAATTTGCTAATTATTGAAATGGATTTCAAAGTTAGAAAGAACAAAGGCCCATCTAAAGGAAGGAGTGCGTCTTTCCTCTAGGTAGAGAATGCTGGAAATATCTCATGTGTACAAAAAGTAAACATGTTCCATTTACTTCTTGGTCATTTCTGCTTCCATCAAAGAGCAAATGTGTGATGGACCACGACAGTGGCTCTCCACTTTAGTTTGGAGGAGCAGAATTGCCATTTCCATGGGAATGTATGCAGACTCCGGAAGTGTGAAACAGAAGCAGCTGCCCTGTGCAGCTTTCCTTTCTTTGCTTGTCCCCAGGCCTTTGAGTGCAGGGTTTGGGATGCCAGCCTCTCCTTGGTAGTGCTGGGGGGAATGCAAAGAAGGGCTTGTGTTTGTGCTTGGGCCAGAGTGCTAATGGAGGAACGTTTTTCACTCCCCAACTACAGGGGCCCCTGGTGTGAGGACAGGGATAAGGAGTGAGAGATGCCATGGAGAGAGGACTTGGGGTTTAGGATCCCAAGGCTAGTTTTCCTTTCTCACTGAGAAATAGTGTCAGGGCCAGTGTTGGGGATTCTGGACTGAATTTTTATTAATGAAGGCAATGTTTTCTTCAGATGGCTATGGAGTTGAGTTGAGCTGGCCTTGGAAGAATGGGTAGACTTAACAAGTAGTGATCTTAAGACGTCAGCCTAAAAGAATGCTGGGTGGTACGAGGAAGCCTGTCTGGGATGACAAGTTTGTCACAGATAGTCATGCATGGATAACGAATGGTTCGTTCTGTATATTCAAATGATTCATACCTGGCGGTTTTAAGTACTTTTTTCCCCTTTTCCCTTCTTTACTAGCAAAAATGAATTCAGCATACTGGTGTCCACGCTCAGTATTCAGAGCACCCACACACCACACTTATTGGGAAAGCTGAGCCGAGAAGGGAAAGACTGAGAGAGTTAGTCTAATGTCAGTGTCCTCAGGAGAAGTCCTACATGTAGGATGGTACCTTTTTTTAAAAAATTCTCAATAGAGGCAACTTATTAAGAGGCATCAGCCTGTGGCTCAGTTTTGTACATGTCTGGAAGTTCTGGTAGGATTCTATTTATTAGCTTAGTTTATCCAGTTATCCATTCTGGATAAGGGGAAAAATGTTTTGAATCTAGAGATTCTACATTAGGTATTTTCAGTCATGGATCATTTCAGGAAAAGCATATTCATTTAGTCTGTGGATGGCTCCTGGTTATTTGGAGTGATACTGCAGCAGAAGATGTGGAAACAGTAAAAGCCATGGTGGCTAAACACAAGACGTGTAGCGGAGATGGGACCTGATGGCTGGAAGATCAATCAGGTTACTGCACTAGTCCAAGCCTGGATGGGCCTCAGGGTCCTATAACCCAGAGAGGATTAAAGGAAGAAATTATGCCTCTGTGGTTGGCTCTGAAGATGTGGCAGATTCCACATCTTAGTTATTATATTGTTGAGGTATTAGAACCTGGACTGGTCTGAAAGGTTTTCTAAAGGAGATGGAATTTTAGCCTAATCTTGAAGAATGAGTAGAGTGCCCTCTGTTTTGTCTTGACACAGAATAAAGTCTCTTCATTAAATATTTTCAGACACTTCATTCAATCTGAAACTATGAGCAGGTAGTTGTCACGGCTGTGAAAATGATCAGCTGCATGTCGCTGCCACAGCTGCAACACTGGGGTCAGAGCAGATCCTACAATTCACCTGCCCCAAGGTCCCACCTCCCCTCTGCCCACCTCCACCACGACACACACAGGTGTGCACACATCACAACGGCTCCTGCTGAGTATTTCCCAGATTCCTCCTCAGCCTTAGACAAGCCACCCTTTATGATCCTTCATCATACCTCAGTGTGTGGTTTTCTGACTCAGTTCATTCACTACTGAACATGCCAGGACATTTAGTGGTATATGGGGACATTAGGTTATTCAAATGATAGTGTCCCCTAAAGTCAAGGCCTAGGACCTTAGGGAAGGTCCACTGTGGTTAGCTGTATTACCTGATGTGTGACTGGTACAGGAGACTGATTTTTGTGCTTTTGGTAAAATTTAATTTTTATACACCAGAGTTTTATACACCAAAATTTAATTTTTATACACCAGAGTTATCATTCACTAGGTCTATGGTAGCCTATTGGGCCAGCCAGTGCAGAGCTTTCCCAGGGCCAGTAGAGGTGTATCAACTCTGAAAGATGTGTGGGGCCTAAATGTAGCCCAGATCATCTTCAGAAATGCAAGGGCTACTTTCCTTTTCTTTGTGGCCAACTTCAGCATCAAGCACAGTATCAGTACTACACACATAGTAACACTGTAGTTATCTAAGTGTTTGGTAGGGGGATAAACAAACAAGTCAGGAAAATATCACTACCCCATGCAAAAATTCTAAAAAAGCAGCCATCACCAACTCTCTCCCTTTCCACAGCTGCAGTGTGTATAACCCTATACGTACTAGTTTGTAAACCAAAATTCTCAGTGTTGAAGGATAGAGACAACTACTCAGGACCTGAGGTGTTTGGACACTGCTGACATCTCGGTGGTAGGCACCCTTGGCTTCTGCCTCTCAGCCTCTGGCCCTTCCGTGAAGCCCTCTGGTCCTTATCCAGAACACCTGGCCTCTTCATCTTTCTCAGAAGACTGTCCTCACATGACAGCACATAAGTTTATGGAGATATTCTGTGTCTGTGACATTCAGAGAGAGGCCTCTGGGTCACCATTAGGAAAGAGAAGCCTGAGAAAGAGCCTTGGGGCAATTAAAGATGGTGCCCTTGGGTGGGGTTTGAGATGTGAGCTCCAAGCCAACTAGTTGCAGTGCCTGCGGGGAGTCAAACTGGGGAGAAGAGGAAGGGTGGGAGGGAGCACCTAGTTTCTTCCGGGAAAAGCAGCCGCCTATGCCAAGGTCCCTTTAATCACAAGACAAGGCTAGGAGCCTATCCAAGTCAAGACCTGCAGAATCACCCCCTGCCAAGACCTGCAGAGATGAACACAGGGCAGGTGTGGGCGGAGAAAGCCGCTGGAGTGGTGAGGACTCCGATTGCATCTTGCAGGCGGTCATCTCAACCACTCTGCCACTCCTGAGCTTTCAGTTGCTCTAATGAGAGGTATTAGTGTATGTCTGACATTAAATCCCAGCTTTTCTATTGATACTCACTTTTATACCTCCTTTTTAAGAGGGAGATGGACCTTAACACTTACTAGAAAACAGGAACAAATGTTTTGAGCTTTCCTTTAACAGTGGGTTACATGGCAGAGCAGAAAGGTGACAGGGAGACCCCAGAGGAATAGAAACTTGGCTCCTTCCTCTCTTCTGTAAAATGTCAGTGATGATCATAGTTCCCTATGAAGGTAGTTGTAGGGATCAAATGAGATATTTCAAGGGTTTGGCAAACAGTAAGAGCTCAATAAATATTAGCTCTTATTACTATCATTATCATCTCCATAGTAGACTCCTTAACATTCCAGAAACAGAAAGATCTGAAGATGAGGGTGGTGTCATATTAAACCAAAGTATTTGGAGGGAATATTAAAGGAAATTCCAAGTGAGGAACCTTTGAGTAAATACCTACCAGGTTACTTGAGGCAAATAGAAATGGAAGCAGTTGGGCCTGACCCAGCACTGGGAAATGTGGATGGAAAAACATGATTCATCCTGGACTGCAGGCTTTGAGAGGCCCATTATCTGGCTCCCTGATCCTCAGCCAGCCCTTTGAACTGCTGGAAGATACCCTGTTTGCCCATCTTCATAGGAGTTCTAAATTCTGGCCTCCTGGTGCCCCTTCCCTCCGTGGTCCAGGGCCTGGAGGCACCTCAGGCAACTTCCTGTGAAGCCCAGTGATGATGCTGACAGCCAGAGCCGCTGAGAAGTCAGATGCCTGCAGAGACAGGGTAACGGCAGCGGGCAGCCACTGGGCTTGAGCCAGAGGGCCATAAAGCCAAGAAGAGGCATGCTACTTCATGCCAACCAGCCTGATCTGAGCCTGAGGACCGAGATGCACCAGGAAGCCTGTGTTTTCCTATTCTGAGAGGAAAGGTCAAAGGCTGCAGGCTGCAGCCAAGGAGAATGGCCCTGTTAAACTGCCCTTCCCTTGCATTCTCCTCTCTCTGCTCTTCTAATAAGAAGGGTGTTCCTTTCCTCAAAGGGAGAGAGAGGGAGGGAGGGAGAGAGAGACTGTAAACTGTCCAAAAGGACCGTGAGAAAACAGGAAGCTTTGAAAAGTACAAGAGAAAGCAAGATGAAATCTATTTGCAGGCGGGCCCCTGGGGACATGTGAGGCATTGTTAAGCAGGCAGTTCATACAGCTATATCCTTCCTTCTGCTAAGGAGGGCTTTGCTGCCAAAAGGCTGCTATCTGGTCACTGCCTTAACCCACTCAGTGCCAACCTGAGAGCCCTGATCCCAAGCACTGGGCCCCTAAAAGCTCCCCTGGTTTCTCCCATATGGGGCATTCAAGAGCTGGAGGGGAAAATGGAGCCAGTTTGGCAGTGGTGGTGGAACCCTTTGCAAGGAGACCTTGTCCTCTTCTATCAGCTCTGCCCTGGGCCTTCAGACCTCTGCTTCAGATCAGTCTGCAGACGACCTGGTGATTCATACCTTAGGCAGCTCCCGGCTTCACCCATCTCAAAGGAGAATTTGTCCCGGAAATTCTGGATGGCTGCTTTTCCTGGACAGGTTTCCCCAAGACAGCAGCTGGTTCTTTTCTATTATGGAGTGTGGCTGCTACAAGGATAGCATCCAAATCAACCCCTGTGTGCTTACGCAGAATCTGGGAAGCATATTTCTGAAACATGGCTTAAGTCTACAGGCACAGGTCTCTGGAGAAACTCCAGCTGGCTCCAAGAAGCAAGCAGTCCAGAGGTTGAGCCAATAGCAAAAGAACCCAGAAGGGCAATAATTTTTTAATAATAATAATAAGAAAAAAAAAAAAGAAACAGCATGGAAACCTTTCCTCTCCTCCAATTTTCCATCCTATTGTTAATGCTTAAGCCCACAGTGCACATTGCTGCTTACTGGGGACAGCTGTTTCCACTGAGCATGGGGCCTGAGAGAACCAGTTCATGTTGCAATAGGGGGAGGTATTTATGCCAGGAAGGATTTTGAGTGAAGAGAATCCCAAGAAATTAGAGTCTGTTGTTTAAAGTATGTCTTTTTTGTAAGTTTTTGGGTAAGGAAGACTGAGCTAGCTCTTGGGGATAGCTGGAACAAGGCCTGCTTCTTTTTTCCAGCCATGGCAATCATGTGAAAGGGATCACTCTTCCCTGTTGCCAACATAAAGCTTGGGTCTAGTTGTCTGGGCCTGTTCTCCAACATCACCGTGCAGCCAGCCAGCCACTCTTCTCTGATGGCTATGAATTAGACAGCAATGAGAAAATGGCCTTCCATTCCTCTCCCAACTCCCAGACCCCTGGCAACCTCTACCCAGGGCCAGTTCCAAGATTCCAGCAACAGAGATGGGAAGCGAAATTCCCAGGACACCATGTCAAGGTGTCCCTCCCACAGTGGGATCTGGAGCTAGTTTACAAACACACAGAGCCCCATTATGTAATCTGTAAATTCAGACATGCTCTGAAACTTTTGAAATGAAGAAGGGTGAGGGCCCAAACAGGACATCAAGCAGGGTGGCACTTTGCAGGGAGACAGGGACAAAGAGAAGAAGAACCTGGTAGTACACCTCTGGCACTTCCAGGAGACAGAGGGCTCTTCATCAAGGTGATGGACACCCTTACTTGTTTCAGGAATGTCTAAGAATGGAGAAGGGTCACCTATGTTTGACAAAATTACCTTTTAACATCCAATTCTTTTTGTTCTAATTATAGAAACACTCTCCTAGGCAGCCTCCTGACCTACAGTGTGGTCTACTGAGAGAAACTGCCCACCAGCAAGAAGTGGCCTTTGCAGATGACCAGTTGAATTCTTGTACCAGGCCCACTTCCCGTGGAGTATGAACTGTGCATCGGTTCAGAGCTGGCATTTCATGCTACAAGTCTCTCTCTTATGGGGTCCAGTGGTATAAGCAGTCATCCAGAAGCCTAACCCACCCTCAGGGAGAGGTCAAATCAAATTTCTGAATTGTAAAGTTGACTATCAGACACCCTTTGAACCATGTGTGGCACACTATCATTGTGAGGGGAGGGGCCAGTTGTTCATGAAGTGAAGCCTGAGGCACCCCGGAGGGCTGGCTCACCGCACTGCTGGGCCCACACTGCACTGCAGTCTCCCGGGCACTGGGAGCAGGGAGAACCCTGCATTCCTCAGATACCACCTGATCTAAGAAATCCTCCACACTCCTCTGAGGCCCTTGAAGGAGAGAGCAGAAGTGCCTCTGTGCCCCCAAATCACACACAGCCTGCAACCCCTTTTCCCAGATTGGCTCTGCCCCTGACATACCTCTCTGTTTCAAGCATTTTCTTCCTTGGTGATCTGCTACTGCTAGACCTGAATTGACAAGACAGAGGTGGGTTGAGTTGAATTGGTTGGGCTGGACAGGTGTGGATTTTTAGGGACTGCAAACTATGCAATTGCTCCCTTCAGACTAAACTGTCTGTGCTCCGCCACTTGTTGCTAAGATAGACCATAGAGTTCAGGCTTGAAACCTGAGTATACTTGGCACAAGGAATGAAGAGTGGGAGAGACCTCCTGTCTGTACCTCCATTGCAAGAGACAGTACACTCCTGGCAGGCTGCTCTGCTCAAAGCAAATAGCCCAAGGGGCTCAGGGAATCAGGAAGGAAACCAAGTAAGTGCGTAGAGAGAGAGGGAGGAGGTAGCCTGCGGAGTCCCTAGGCCCACCCAGCCAGGGCAGGCCTCACGGTGGGCTGCTATGCAGCCAGCCACACAAGGCCCCAAGCTCAGAAGTGTCCTGAGCTTGGCATCATGCTCTGCTTTTACTCTGTTGAAATTAATAATGTTTAAATAAGGGGCCCCACATTTTCATTTTGTAGCAGGCCCTGTGATTAACATAGCCTGATCTGCATTCAGCTTCCTTCCCCTTCAGCTTCAATGAATCAAGATGGACATAAATTGACTTTGAAACCACTGGAAACTTGAAGGAAAGGAGGGGAAACACAAGCGGGTGGCAGGAAAGGGGCTGGAGGGAGAAGCCTCCTCCCCACCTCCGGAGAATGCCCACACAGGTCTAGGGAAGCTCTGGCTCTTGACCCCTTTCACCCCGTCCAGGACTGGCCAGCACAGGAAAGAAGTCAGCTTCACAGGGGTTCCTTCAAGTGGTGGGACATGCCGCAGAGGGATGAAAGCAGGAGACCCCTGGGAGCCAGAGAATCTAATCTGGAGCCTATCAGACATGTGGTAACAGAGAAGGAAAACTTGCATTTCAAACAGAAAGGTCCTCAGGGTGTCTGAGCACACTGATTCCCCTCCTCCCAGCCAGCCCTCTCCACGTGACCCGTGACTTTGACGTGTTGGAGATGATACTTGCTGGTACATTCCTTGAATTAAACTACCCAATCTTGAGCAAAATTTCTTTTCATCTGAGAAGTGGGGAAGGGAAACAATGTGGGGAGGGTGTAGGGAAGAGGGGCAACAGTGTGGGAAGCGTGAGCATTTCTCAGTAATACCAGTCAGTGCCTGGGCTTGACAAATCTCCAACTCACATATGATCTCAGCTGATAAAATAAATACCCAACCAAGTTGCTCCAACACAGAGATTTTAACGAACATACTTGACCCCCATGCTCCACGGTACAGGCATGAACAGGAAACACTTCAGGTGACTGTGCTCACAGTTACTCCTCGGCCCAGACAAGCGTTTCGGAGGCTGGGAAGGCTGGCTTTGGAATCTCTTTCACACTCCAGGGGAGATCTGCCTTCAAATTACACTGCTCAGCCCAAGGGTCAGGAGGACAGGAGAGGAAAAGGGAGGGAGGCGGAATTGGAAGCTTCTCTGATGCCTTTCTGTGCTCTACTCATTGGCTTGAAGAGGAAGAGGACTACACTCGGTTGCTCCTTTCTAGAATAGGAGCTCTGCATATCACTGACATCGTTTAACAACCTCATTCCCCAAATGGGCCTTCCACCCTCAGCTCTCCCCTTACTGGCTGCCTCCACCCACTGTGCACTGATCCCACCATGGGACAAACAGGTCAGATTCCTCAGGGACCAGCGGAGGGCTGGTGTGAGCACAGGTGTGGTGGAAAGAAGGAGAGGGCGGAAGATGGGTCTGGGGTTGGCCATGGACCTACTCTGAGCCTCTCTGATGAAACAGAGTAGAAAGTTCCCTGTGGACTCTTCTGCCAGCATTTGCACAACCCTCTGAGACCTCCCCTCCCTCGTTCCTACCAGGGCCCACTGCCCACCTTGCATCTGAAAGGCTTCACGTCAGAGTGGACGATCATGTGTGCCTTGAGGGTCTGTTTCTGCACAAAACTCTTATAGCAGAGGTGACACTGGTAGGCACGGATATTGGTGTGGATCAGCACGTGTCTCTTCATGTTGGCCAACAGAGTGAACTCCCGCCCGCAAATCCCACATTTGTGCTCCTTCACGCCCTGGAGAAAGGCAAGGTTCAAAAAAATCACAGTTAACAGGTAACATGCTTTCATGAGGATCACATGGATCCACAAAGAGTTTGGTGGCAGATGTTGAACTCCAAATGTTAAATTTGTTCAATTGCTATTTTCTTGAAAAGTATTGATTATATAATCTCTTCTTTTTTCTGAAACCATTAACTAGCCTGACTATTAAAGGAAAAGAAAGCTATTGCTGTCGTTGTTCCTGCTGCTGCTGTGGTTAAGTCTACAGTTACAGTTCTGGGGATTAATCGGATTTTGGGAAGAGCACTGTGGAATGATATGCAAAATGAGTCTATAATCTGGCTTTCACAATAATGAAAAAATAAAACCTCCTAGACTGATAAGATCATTTCCTGTATGACAACCAATATTCTCCTGAGTTCTCATTAATAGACTTGAAAGTCCCAGAAGAACGACTCATATCCACACTTCAATAAATTACAATTTGATAATCATCTCCTGAGATGGTCCCCTGGGTTCTCACAGGTCACAGTGACCCCTGTGTGATGTGGCTAGGGAGCCTCCTCTAAGTCCTACAGAGGAATTTGGCAGAGGATAGCTTTCTGAATTAGAGAACAGGACAGAAGGTCCTTGCTGTCTGTGAAAAAGTATATACATTGATGTCCTCAATCGAAGGCATTTCCAGAGACTCATAGCATGAGCAGAATATTAGCTAATCCTGACTAATGAGTGCTTCCCTGAAAAGGCCTTTGCATCTTGACGCAGAATGACTTTTGGGGAGGAATACTTAGAGAACCATGGCATTAAAACTAAGGTTTTTACACAATTAGAACAAGTTGCTTAGCTAACAACTGTGTCCTATAAAACCTACATTGCCTGGTATCTGTAGTGCCCTAAGGAGGGAGGATTCCAAGTTTAGCTCTGAGTCTCTCTGCCTATATTTCTATTTCTTTAATTTGGTACATGGTAAGAAAGTACCATTCCATTGTGGTGAGCCCATAGCACTAAAGGGTGAGTTCAGTTCTCTGCCCAGGCATTTACCAGCTGTGTAATCTTAGCCAAGTCTTGCCACCTTTCCTGGTGAAGGTTTCCTCATCTTGACATGAAGCAGTGGATCATGAGAATCCAGGGACTCTTTCCAGCTGGAATACTCTCTAGTTGATTGCAGATAAGTGTGGATTTAAGAAGAGATTTAAATTTTAATACCCTCCTCAGAAGGGGAATTTATTAAATACGTTGCATATTTAAAGTGAGTTTAAAATTATGAAATTAATGAAAATATTTTCTTGGTAGGTTTTTAAAGTTACTTCAACATTTTTTCTTCTCCAGATTGTCTCCATATTTGGCTAATCCAGCTGTCCTGAGACCAAGGATAAGTATCTACGTATCACTGTTTTCAGAATTCTCTAAAGAGAATTCTAGATCCAAAGTAAAATTCACAAGACTCAAGTGAATGGGAGCTAGTCACCATTTGGGAACAAAGGAAGCTGCTGTGTCTCCAGTAGTATCATTGAAAACACAGAAGAGAGGCTGTGGGGTTGTTAGGGTGACCAAGGGAAGGGGCAGAGAAGGGGAAGTCCAGAGCTCAGGTGCTGGAATCAGAGATGCTGGGTCACTTCCCCATGCTTCAGTGTCTTCATCTGAAAATCTGGAGTAATGATGCCTGAAGGTAGCTCTTAGTTTGCTGAAGATTCTCAAAGTGAGAAGGAAAGCACCTGGTACATAGCAAGTGTTCAGTCAATACAATTACCTCTCATTGTTTGCTGACACCTTTAACTAAAATGCATTTGGTTCCCTAATTCAGATTAAATATTTCAGGTACCAAGCTACTCTTCCCATTTTGCCTTCAAAATTCTTAACAGAATTTTTGTGTTCTAAAATGCATCTTCAATTCCTTTCTAGACACTTAGAAGATAGAAGCCCCTCAAATCAGCCAAGGTTCCCCTTTGTGGACAAATCTCAGTTTAGGCTCTTTGTTGATGGTTCCTGCACTTGGCAGGAGCCTCCTCCTCTCTGAATGGTATCTACAGGTGCCTTTGTATGCAGAGCCTACAAGGCAGCCACACACTTCCTCCCTGCCGTGGAGCCAGAAAGTGCCCTGTGTTTTGTCCTAACCATAATGGATCCCATTATGATAGAGCAGGAATGTTATCTTGGCTGGGCAAAGTCCTCCACTGACCTTTCAGAATTAAAGAATGTTTTAGAAACTTGGGCTTGCTGGGAGACTCTCTGGCCAAGAAAACCACTTGAGGTCAAGGGTGTGAGGGTAGAGGTCGGAGGGGCAAACTTGGAGCTCGAAGCAGACCCAAGTCAACTTATATGGGTAAGGTTTCAGGGATGCCACTGGGGCCTTGTTTTAGTTCATCCTGAACTACTCCAGGGCTTTGGCTGCAAACTAGGCGAAACTGAGACCCTTGGACCTATATTTCTCCTTGAACCCCTGAGCCCAGGGAAGATAAAACCAAACCAAACAGAGAAAAATGCTTTCTCATTCCTTCTTCAGTACAAACCACAGGGCCCTGCGCCCAGAGAGGTAAGGGCTCTGCTGGGGAAGCCCAGGCCCTGCTGCGTCTAGGCCAGCCTCTGCTCCCCCAGAGCCACCCATGAAGCTGACCTCACAGGTAAGGAACAGTACAACCCCAAAGGGAGCCACTGCTTCAGCGGCAGAAGACCAAGAGCATTCTCTAGAAGGCACTGATCAGTATATCCCAGGCATAGAGCTGATCTTGGGTAAATAGAGCCTGATGCCGAATTCATGCTAGTGCCCTGAAGTTTCCAGACACAGAATCTAGGGACTCTAGGAGGCTAGCCAGCCACAGTACAGGGACCATTGTTTCCTTCAACCTTCTTCACCCTCCCCTCCAAACTACATTACTTATTTCTAGGCCCACCTCAGACTCTAGAAGGCTAAATGGGAAAGGTCTTGATTGCTAATCTCACTCTCCCCCACTTCAAGGTGAGGAAGGATGTGGGGGCTCAGGTAGGGGAGTCCTCTTGCCAGGGTTACATGGCTGCTCCTGTCAAAGGAAGAGAGCAGCGCAGGTGTCTCGGCCCCTGGCCCCTGGGGCCTGCTCCTTTCCCCAAAGGCCCGGTGGTGCTGCTGGCCAGGACCCCCGCAGTACCTTGTGGGTGAGGGAGTGCTGCTTGAGGTGGTGGGGCTGCACAAACTCCATGCCACACTCGGAGCAGATGTAGGGCCGGATATCCTTGTGCTTCATCATGTGGTTCTGCAGCTGGCTCGGGTACTGGAAGGTCTTGTCGCACTCGGAGCAGTTGTACTGGATGGGGCCCCGGTGCGTGGTGAGGTGCCTCTTCAGCTGGGCCAGCGTGGGGAAGTCGAGGCCACACTCCACACAGATGTTTTCCCGCCCGCTGGCGTGCTTGGCCTCATGGGCCTTGAGCTCGCTGGGGTAGGCAAAACCCCGGCCACACACGTGGCAGTTATGCGGCTTCACCTCACTGTGCTGCATCATGTGGCGCTTCAGGTGGCTGGTCTGCGTGAAGGCCTTGTGGCACACCTGGCATTTGTGGGGCCGCGTGCCCTGGTGGGTCAGCATGTGGGTGTGCAGATGGCTGAGCTGCTTGAAGAGCTTCCCGCAGCGGGTGCACGCATGCGGCTTGATGCCGCTGTGGCCCAGGATGTGGGTCACCAGGTTGTACTTGGAGGTGTAGGACTTCTCACAGGTGGGGCACTGCCAGCGCTTCTGTGCCCCACCCACATCCACGTAGTAGCTGTCATCGATCTGCACGTTCACATCCACGCGCTCCACCTTCTGCTGCGTCTCCTCGCTCTCCTGTGGCTCCGCCTTGCGCGGCAGCAGCGGCTCAGCCGGGGGCTTGGGCAGGAAGGTGTGCCGGCCGAAGGGGAAGGGGGATGCCGAGGGCATGAAGAAGGGGAACATGAGGCCTGGGGACACTTTGGGGTAGTAGGGGTAGGGCGTGGTCAGGAATGGGGGTGGCGTCGGCTGGGGCCACATGACACTGGGCTTCACGGGCTCTTGCTTGACGGGCCTGCCCCCCAAGTGTTCCAGGGAGCGGTAGAACTGGAAGCCCACGTTGCACAGGTCGATCATTTGTGAGTCATACTTGGGCCGTGGGGGCTGCGGGAACAGCAGGGGGAGGTTCGGCGGGGGGTGGTTTTTGCTCTCCTCAGAGTGGAGGGCAAGAGGGGCTTCTTCTGCAACGTGGTTATAGGGCATCTTGGTGGGCATGCTCTTCCGTTTCCGAGACCCTCCTCCTTCAAAGACCCCCGGGAATCCGCCTAGGTGTCCTGGAGGAGGTTCATACCGAAATTGGGAAAAAGGCCCCTGGAGAGCTTCTGGGAAGGGGTGTCTTTGGGGAGCTTTCCCTCGGGAAACCACTGGTTGCAGGCACTGGGGAAAGGAGGGGGTCCTCTTCACACCCAGATTGAAAAGCGCATCCTCATTTTTGATCATCTTCATTTCCTTCTGCATCTTTGGGAATCTTCCTTTAAAGAGAAAGAAACTTATTGTTGTTTTTTTTTTAAATACTCCCCAAGAGTCTTAGCTAGATGTCAGTACAAATTTATGAAGAGCAGTGCTTATTAAATACTGACCCTCATTTATCCCAGGACTGTTCAAACTATCACTGTTTTTTCCCCTTGCAAACCCAGTTACTAACGTGGAAAGCACTGGCCTCCTCAGGGTGGGACCCTAGCCGGGAGCAGACTGGATTGGGAGGAAACCTGAGAACTCACTGGCCCACGGTCCCCACTGGAGATGAGGGTGTCAAGGCCCAGAGAGAGGAAATGACTGCTCAAGTCCCAGAGCTGCTCAGGGCAGGAGTCAGAACTAGGACATGTTCTGCTGCAGCTTTGCAGCTGGAGAAGGAACTGCATCTGCTACTGCTGCCTGTAGTGTGTCATTCGGTGTCCTTTCTTCTCTAGGAAAACTGATTCCCCTGCCTCTCCCTGGCTTGTGGCTTTGCTGCTGGAGGAAGGGGATATCCAAGGTCACACAGGAAAACAGACTTCACTGCTTAACTCAGAGCTCAAATTTCCTGAGAATCCACACCAAGCAAAGTGTGTGGCAGGGGCTTATTAAATGGACGAGATTGATGTGATTAGGACAAGGACATAACCTCGTGTTACAGTTCTCTTGGCAGTTTATGCATTCTAATCTTGCACCTGAGGCAACCTCAGGTGAAAACTCCAAAACTGTGAGTTTCAAAAACCACACCTCGCATCTTCCCCTTTACGCAGGTGTCTGGGTAAACGTGGCCTTTGGTGGCTCCTGTGGTGGCTGACACTTCCCTGGCGAGTGAGTTTCTGAGTCCTGGTGACTATGTCAGGTCTGTGGGGTGGGGTCTAAACCAGGGTCTGTGCTCCTTTCAGGTCTCCTTGCCATTTTTCTGCCCTCCTCCCATGGATACTGGCAGAAGAACCAGTGGCTGACTCCACACTGCCAGCAAGGGCCCTTCCTGCTCAAGTCCTCTGAGCTCGAATGGGAGTGGTCCTCTTTGCTCAGCAGAGGCTTTCACAGAGCCAGTAGCCCTGCCCTGGTGTAAGGTCTGGCCTTGGGCCACTGGAGACAGGGCTAGGATAGAGTCCTCGACTAACTCCCGACCCAGGCCCCTGGGAATGGCTACATCCTGAGCAGTGTGGGGTGAGGGTCCCTGGAGTGACAAGGCCAACAGCTTCTAGGGATTTCCTGTAGTCCTTGGTGGGGGAGAAGCAGTTTTTACAAATACCTGGGTGTTCACAAATCACAGTTGTGTCTTTGTGAGAAGTTTGAGAAGTGTAGCACTAAAACAAAAATGGGTCTTTTTGTACTGGATTAGCAATTACACATGGAGATGATCCACCTGAGGAAAAAAAGGATATGTGTCCTTGTAATATGACTATTTGGGCTTCATTTAATATTGTTAAGTGGAATCATCAGAGACCTAAAAAATACTGTCCATTAATCTTTGCTTTGTGTTTTTCTTTGGTGGGAAGACAGCCCTGGCTTATCTTCTTTCCACAGGTTTGGGGCTTAGTAATTAAGAGTGAGAGCTTGTGTGTCCAGCAGAAGGGAGGCTCAGCCCTGTGTCTGCTCCTTCTTCTGCATCTTCCTAAAATTCTAACCAAAATGCTAGGCCTTATACCACAGCTGCCTCGATGATTAGGCACTTGTAGGAGGTGATAAGAGCCGCAAGAGAATGAAAGGGCTGGCTTTAAAAGTCTGGGAGCGGTGGGGGAGGCTATCAGAACAAGGCAAGAGCTGCTGCAGCTATTGAGGGGACCTGGACAGGCCGGAGCTGGCAGAGGCTCCCCGATGGCTTCTCATTTGACTAGATCTCTCTTGGCTGCCGTTCAGCAGGCCCTGATTCTGAGGGCACACACAGTTAGAGAGGGTGTGGCCCTGGTCCAAGAATTTGTTGCAGCTATAAAAACAATTGGCATTCTGACAAAGCGAATGGATCCTACTGAAATAGAGGAGAAAAAATGGCAGCTTCTTTCTCTGGAATTTCATTTGCCACCATTTGTTTTATAACCCCTTTGGAGACGCAATTCTATCCGCAAAAAGGCTGCTCAGACTGGAGAGAGCTCTTCCAGGCTGCAAGTGACTATGGTAAACCACGGCAAAACGCATTCAAGGGCAAACTGGTTCTGTCTGTTTTCTTCTGACTGGGTTTGCAGGGGTACTGATTCCTATTTCACATTGGAGAACTTGATTAGAGATAATGAAAAAGACATTTCAGAACGTGGGTCGAACTTACTGAGTTTTTGTGTTATTTTCTTTGAAAATGGATGGCTAATGATGTCAGGAATCTTTATTTATACCATGGGTCGTGTCTTTACTGGAAGGCTACTTATTCAGAAATGAATATTATTGTCATTCTGAACCTGACAGGTTTATACACATTATTACTGCTTTTGGTTAAAATTTTGTTTTTGGTTCCAGCATAGTCTGCTAATTGACTCATTTTAATATATTAGGAGTTACATTTCTAATATAACACTAACTTCAAAAGCATATTTATTTTCAGTGTTTGCATTTTCATTTTGTTAGCATTGACCTAACAGAGCAAAGATAATGTTGCTATATTGTTGAAAAGAGATGATGTGTCTTCTTAACATAAATGGCAGAATTATGCCCCCCAATGCAGAAAATTTACATATGTATGTTTAATTTCCTTCCTATTTTAATATGATAAAATTTTTCCCCCAGTTTCTGATTTGTGCATATACACACACCACCCTGAAAATAGTAATCTGCCTGCTCGAGAATAAAATAATTAACTCAGGAGGTTTAAAAAAGTATTTGGATCCATCCATAGACATTTTTCCTGATCTTTAAAACAGCAGGTCCTTTCCATATGAAGATCGCAAGGAACATTGCCAGTCCCTGCAGGCCTTGTCTTCTGAGCATAGGGTGCTAAGGAGGAGCCCTAGGGGGTAAAAGAAAAATACTCAAAATATAAATCCATGTTGGGGGTGCTGTGTGATAAAGGGAAGAGCAGGGAAGGGATGTCTTCCTCAGGAGAAAATTTAACTTGAAATCAGTCAACTTAAAACTCTCAGTGGCCTCTGCAAAAGTATTAATAGACTCCTAGAAAACCTCAATGTGTGCCACCCACGTGCTCCCTTCTATTTCTAAAAATAGAGCCACAGGCATCCATGACAAATGTGGGATTCCTATGTGGGAGCCAAGAGAGGCTTGGGGCTGCAATCGTCTGCTGTGCGAAGGCAGGGCAGCGGGTGGGACAGCCACAGGCCCACCCCGGACAGTAATCTGGGGCTTCTCCCAGAAAACCAGCAGGTTGTAAGACAGTTCCCCAGCAGGACATATAAAACAACATGCAAAAAGAAAGACCTGGAATTGTAAAAGTAGAAGCTTTGGAATAGTTTCGAGCCTTGGTTTGGAGCATCGATTGGAAGCCTGAGATTCTGGTTTGAATTCTGGTTTTGTGTTAGCAGCTGTGGAGAATTAAGCAAATTAATTTGGGGGCTTGATTTTCTCACTCATGAAATGGGGATATCCCCATAGGGTTGTTGGAGAATTAAAATAGAGCATGTATGTGAAAGTGTATTAAACACTAGACACACAGTGCTCTTGAGCAAGAGTAAGAGTGAGAAAGAGTGGACAGGAAAGGAGAGCTCAGGTGTGATCAGTGCACTGATGCTCACTGACACGGTCTGTTTTCCAAGCTGAAGCTCTTGATCACCGCTGACTGGCGTCTGGGCTTCTGCTTTGCAACTCAAAACCAAGACTTGCCCCCTGCGTTGGGAGTGTCACAGCAGTGAATGTGAGCTGCACTGAAAGAAGCCAGGGGGTAAGATAAGGGTGGATTCATTCATTCAGTGTGGAGATCAACCTTCTAGGTTAAGAAAACTCCCCCATCCCTTTCTCCACAGCTCTCCTTCCTATGCTGGAGATAACTTTGAGCTTACCTTAATAAAAGATAGCTCTGGGGAGTGAGGACACATGGAATTGGGTGGTCTCATGAGCTCATTCAGCCAGTCTACGGGAAGCTGAAGAATTGCCCCTCGTCTAATATCAGAGGCCACCTTCTTAGACACAGGAGGACCTGTGTGTGGAACCCAAAGTTCCAGACCTGGGACCATGCTGGGTCAACACTGGCAAATGGACTCTTGCAATTCCTGCTATACTGTGATGGCAGGAACTGGGTCTGTTTTACTCATGGCTGTTTCCAGACCTCAGCAAGTTGCCTGACGCAAAGTAGATGCTCAATGAACTGCTGTTGGATGAGAGAAGAAATGGAAGGTTCTTCTTTAAAGTCTCCATGTGGAATTTTTAAATACGTAATTTTATCTTATGTTATTTAGACTGCAGGTGACTTTTTGAGACATCCCTAATCAGATCATGAACACTCACAAACTCTCAGGTAGTTATTGTGCCAGAACTCAATGCACACATTGTGTGAGTGCTGTTACCTGCCATCCTCAGTTTCCCAGGGTGCTGCTCCCTGAACTGACCCTTAGATTTGGGGGATGCCCTAAATCCTGGCTTCACTAATGCTAGGGAGCCATCTCCCAAAGGAGGTGTTTGGGAATTTAGTAGCAGCTCATTTTTTGTACTAATGTGGGTGCCAGGTAGGGGGCTTAGAATCATCATACATTTTCATGGCTATGCTTGCAGAATGTTCACGGTTCCTGGCTCTCTCCCATGTACAGTCAATCACCAAAGCAAATGGTTTGTGGAGGAAAACACTGGATTGATCTTTTAGAGGAAGCTGGGGCTCAGGGTGTCTTCTTTAACAGGTATTATCCATACAAATTAGTTATGAGGAAATGGGGGATGAGCAGATTTTAAAAGCAAAAATAAAATCTCCTCTTTGAACCATATGGACTAATTAGAAAGGCAAGGCCTAACCAAGATGAAACTACATACAGTTTGGGAAAAAATGATATTCTAATAATGCCCTTTAATTGGGAATTTACCTACTGTACCAAAATATAAATATTCCCCAGATAAAATTACTGGTATTTTGTGGTTCTCATTT